AAAAAGAGAAAAATCCTGCCATTTGGGGCAAAATGGATAAAACTGGAAGGCATTATGCTAAGTGAAAAAAGTCAGACAGAAAAAAAAAACTGCCTGGTTTTACTTATATATACAATCCCTCAAAACGTAATTGAACATAACAGTAGAATGGATGTTAGCATGGGCCGGGGATGGGGGAAATGGGAGTCTGGTAAAAGGATACAAACTTTAGGTTTTAAGATGAATAATTTATGAGGATATAATGTATAACATGGTGACACAGTTGACAAAGATATATTGTATAATTGAAATTTGCTAAGAGCAGAACTTTTGTGTTCTCACAGAAAAGGAACGTCAGTCAAATGTGTGACGTGATGGATATGGTAATTAAATCAATAGTGGGGATCCTTTCACAATGTACATGTACATCAAATCATCACATTGTACATTTTAAATATATTCCAATTTTGTCTGTCAATTATACCTCAATGAGGTTGGAAAAAAAAATCCTCATTTTATAGATGAGATAACTGATGTGTAGAAAGATAATTTTTCCAGAGTCACGCAACTAGGCCTTGACATACTTGGGAATCAAAGCATGCCTTTTTGTGCCAAAGCTTGCACATCTAACAACTGTGCTATTCCTAGCCAGATGGTCCAGTGGAGAGAGTAAATGGCCTTTCCAGCAATAAGCCATGGTGAACTACTGTGTTAGTTTCCTGTCATATAAAGTATGAGAATTCCGCCCGATGAGGTCAAAAGGCCTATCCTAATTCAACAGTTTTGACTATTACTCTTTTAAAGATAGTTCCACAAAATTATATCTTTTCTGACCCTCCCCTAACCTGCCAGCCTACATTTGCTGATTCACACATTGTAAACCAGTTGAAAATTTCCCATGACAGTCTGATCAGTTTAGGAAATCTCTCTCCTTTCATTGTTTATATCACATTTGATGAGGATATAAATTATGTTTGATATAGATTATAGCTATTGTATGTTTCTGAAACATAATCTACTTAAACAAAAAAATTAACTCCGAAGTAGGAATGCATTTGTTTTTGAGACCATATGTCCTTTAAAAGCAGTTGCTAAGGCTGATTGGACTGTTTCTCTTTGCAGTGCTTTGCACTGAAACGATGCTCAATAAATGTTTGTTGAATAAAATTAACATGAAAGGTGTTTTTAAGCACAGTTTGCATAAAGGTCTATGGATTCATATTGTAAGTACTGTAATTTATGGTGTTTCATCTTTTAAGCTCTGTTTCTCATAATTTTTTGTTTGTTTATCTCAAAATTACCTTAGTTTGATTTATAAAAAGTCAGTGAAGGTTGCCTTGACTGTAATCCCTGATTCGGGACTTACATTTTAGGAACACACACACATAGATGTCTGAAATCCCATTTTCTTTAATCGTCTGCTGCAGTACCCACTAGACTCATTGCAGGTTTAGAAGTCATTAAGTGGGAGAAATCATGCCTTTTTTAGGGATTAAATAGTCCTAATGCTGCTGGTTTTTAAAATGCTCAGGAAATGAAATTCTAGGGAATTGCATTGATTGTATAGTAGGAAACCCATTTTGGAGGCATACTGGGGACAGACATTTATTATGCAGTTTTGTGGAGTCTGTGAGTGATACGCCTGAAAGGATGCTTTGAGACCACAAGAAGTGAGTCACTTCCTTAAAGTGCCAGTTATTTAGCAGCAGAGAAAAGCCTGGAAGAATTTAAACATCTTTATTCCCAGCTCACTTATCTTCTCAGTGTCCTGCATTCATAGGTTAATTCATTTACTCATTTTCTCATTTATTAAAAAATATTTGCTGTGCATGCACCATATTCTGAGCACTTTGGTGGATGCCGGAGACACGTTAGTGAACTTAACAAACAGGGCTTCTGCCCCTGTAGAGTTCACAGTCCTTTCACTTTTCTTCAGTGAAAGAGTACCATTAAATTACTGAATTTAGTTTGGAAATACGTGTTTCCATAAAAAAAATTTTAGTTGAAAATTAAGAAATTATTTCTTTCTGTATTCCCATAAATTCTTGATGTCATTGATTAATGGGAATTTATAGAGCAAGTTCATTTTTCTCCCACTGTCTTTTTTTAAGATTGGTTAATTACACAATGATCCTTATGAAGTTTCTGAAAATTTAGTGGTGGGGCCAGAGAAGCATCTTAGAAAAATGGACGTGGGGTTACAGAGGGATTATACATATTTGTAAGTTTTCCTACAAAGCACAAAATCCTGAGTTAACGGTGTTAAGATACGGAGGGTCAGCCATCAGTCTCCAACTGAAGGTTTTTTCCTTTCAATACCAAATGTTGGGGATTGTGTGGGAATTTTTTTAAGAAAGCTGTTTCTTATTTAAATCTCAGTAATGTTGTAAGCAATTTTTAATGTTTACTTAATTTTTTATTGAAGTATAGTTGATTTACAATATTGTGTTTCTGGTGTACAGCAGAGTGATTCAGTTTTATATATATATATATATATATACACACACACACATACACATATACATACATGTACATATACATACATACGTATTCTGTTTGAATGGTTTATTACAGGATATTGAGTATAGTTCCTTGTTCTATACAAACACAAATGAACTTATTTACGAAACAGACACAGACTCACAGACATAGAAAACAAACTTATGGTTACCAAAGGGAAAGGGGGTGGGGGAGTGATAAATTAGGAGTTTGGGATTAGCAAATACAAACTACTATATATAAAATAGATAAACAATAAGGTCTTACTGTAAACAGTTTTTAAAAAGCCAACCATATATGCCCATGACCAAGTATTTCACTACTTCCTGACTCTTCCTTTACCAAGACTGGATATTTCGTTTCCTGCTTGTCTGTAATAGATATATCTAATAAATTCTCTCTCTCAAGAATGTTTAAATTATAACTGCTCTTCCTAAATATATTTGATTTTTAAAGTAATAGTAAAAGTTAAGCCACCCCCACCCCCACCCCCAAATTCTAAACTATGGAATTTCAGATTCTGGTAATTTTAGTATTGAATAAGTTTGAAGGGCAGGATAACCTTCAGATCACATCACCCATGAATAAAGTTGGTCTCTGTATGCAAATGTGTCTCTAAGTGGTGTATACCACTTTTGACAACTTCGTTTCATTGCACTGTATATAAGTATATAAGTTGCTTTTCACATTTTTAATATTGATTGTGGTTTAGTAGTTATTTAATAGACAAACAAAAATATGTGGCTATTTGGCATCATTTTCATCAGGATTTTGACATTTGAAAATATAAATACTCTGAATTTACTACATTGCATGATTTTAAAAAGAAACCATTAACCTCTGTATTATTCTATTATAACTGCAGTTAGGTTGGTTTTGGTAAATTGATATTTACTGGATAATCAGGAAACACTTTGCACATTAACTGGCCTTTGTTTAGCTAAAGGCAGTGATTTTCTAATTTATACAGATCGGGAGAAGATGAATTATTTAATCCTTTTGGGTTCCTCTCCTCTTTCTGGGTTGTATGTTACATTTCCAGGGGCTTTCTTCTTTCTGCGTTAACATCTGTCCAATTTAATCCTGATTTATACAACCCCTAACAACAGGGAAAATATATGGCAAATATGAAAATTGCTTAGAGCAAGGCAAAAATAATTAAAGGTGGTCATTACTAATAAAATCAAAAGGAATTAAGTTTAGTTTTAGCTCAGAAAATTGAATGCTGAAAGTAGATTAATAGTACTATTCCATTAAGGGGTGTATGTGTACGTGTGTAAGTGAGAGGGGTTGTTCATGGTTTCCCAGTCTATTACAGACTGTGAAGACAGACTATTGCTAGAGCAAATTAAGTTAATCATCAAGAAGTATTCTAATCTTTGGCGGTTTTGAGGACTTCTTTAATTTCTAAGTTCTGCTGAATATCACCTTATGTGAGAATAATCTGGAGATAAAACAGGGTAGAGAATGAGCAACCAATAAGGAGAAAGGGAAAGTTCATAGACAGTCCTAACCTGTAGGTTTCACTAGAATTTGTAGCTAACCGAGATACTAATGCGTTGAAATCTCAGTCCACTGAGATTATAAATCTACTGAGATCATATAAAGTCAGGGAAGCTGACAGCCATCAAGGCACGTGTATATCAAGATATTTTGCATTTAAGCTGGTAAACACACTCCTTAATCACTATCTGGTTTTGCACACATGCTATAAAATAGGCATGATTATTTACTGGCTTACATTTTTATTACCCTAGTGCATTATTTTGCACAGCTGGCTTGAAATTTTCATTTTTATCTGTGCTCTGATTGGTTACCCGTACATACAACTTTTAAAATATTCACCTACTCTCTCTTCTCCCATCTTTTCTTCTTTATCCTCATCCATCCTCCAGTCACCTGTTCTGTGGTTGCCAAGTTCGAATATAGCAATAGAGTGTGCAGCTGCTACAATTGCTAGAAGTGGGTTAGGCAGACGGTTGATGAACAATGACCCGTCAGGGACCATAGTTAGTGGAAGGGGGAGGGGAGACAGGTATCAGGTTTCCTGATGGAGGGGAAATGTATCTGAATGGTAGTAATCGCTGTGAATCGAGCTCAGTCTTTCAGCACCAGCCACTCATACCTACACAGTCTCCTCCCTTGTCTTAGAACTGGCCCAGCAGTTAAATAGCTGTAAAGCCCTGTCTCCCTGTCTCATTTTCCCTGAGTTCCAACAGCAATAGTAGCAACAGCAGCTGTAGAAGCGGCAGCCAGAGATAGGCAGGGCTGTTGCTTGCAGCCGCCGCGCAGATTCCCTCCTCCTCGACACACACACACACACACACACACACCCCACACAGATTTTCAATATCAACGCGTCTTGATATGAATCAAGGACTCAACGAGATGAGAGAAGAGCATTAGTCATGGACAACAGGTATTTCGTCTCGGATAAATTCCTTTCGATGCTTATTGGTATGGATAATCAAATCATCATTCGTGATACCTAGCTGGAGTGGGAGACTGGAGGTGGCCGCAGCAGAGGAGGGGGAAGTGGGAGGAGTGAAGGGTGGGGAAGGGGACTGCCAAAGATGACTTTCAGGCTCCGGAAACCCACATCTTTCAGCCTCCGCTGTTTCTGAGTTGCAAATTGTCAGGAACTGGTGGACTGCAGGCAGCCCGCCGTTGTTGACTGGAAGTCGATTTCCATCTCTGAGACACTAGTTCGAATGGGCTGTGTGTTCTGGAAGGGGGTGGAAGTAGAGAGGAGGAGATGCTGGGAGCAGAGTTCTTGAAGCTCCACTCCTCTGGGGAAGCCGAGCTGTGAGGGAGCCTTCTTACTGAGCGGAGCGTGTGAAGTGGAAAGGATCCTGAGAGCTGGCTAGTCTCAGTTCCTCTCCGGAGAAGCAGTCGCTCCGGCTTCAGAGAAGTGCCCAGCCTTCGCCTGCATCACGCTGCAGTAAGTTAAACTCGACACGGTTGGCAATGTGAGTGGCTTCTGGGTCTGTGATGCGGGGGAAGGGAGGCAGACAAGAAATGGCGAGGGAAGTTAGAAAAGCAGAGCTTTGAATTCTCCATGAGGTATTCAGCCGGTTTGTCCCCCTGACCCTTGTCCTAGCTATGCTGTAGTCAGGTTGCTCTCAGTGATGTACACACGGATACAGCTTGTTGGTTAGGTACGCAAAAAGTGCCCCTTTCACTGTGATTTTTGGCAACAAAACTGGTAAATACGTTCTAGATTTAATGACCACAGTGGGATCCTGAAAGTTACTAATGGATAGCAGCTTGCCTTTTCAACAGAAAATTTGTGAAGAATCAGGCTTAGATTTTCTAGTGCCCAGTTAATTGTTACAAGTTTTATTCCAGACTTACCCCTAACCTGTAAAATAAAGAATTAAACAAAACAAAAGTCTTTGATTGACTTTAGTAAAGAAAATAAAACGTGAAGTGGGTCTCTAGATAACTGCTAGGCAACAGCCTAGAGGACACTGATGATACGATAAACATTCAAATACTCTCTAGTGGGTGGGACTGTACAGGATTCCCCCAATTTCTTACTACTGCAATAATCCCCTCCAATTGCTAAACGGTGCCTTCCTTGTGATATGTGATTTCAAAGTGGTTTTTTCATATAAATGGCTTTATACTTGGAACCAAGCAGAATTGTGTCCACTGGCAAAAAAAAAAAAAAAAGCTTGAAAAACTTTTAAAGAACGACTTCTGAGTACTTAAGTTGCAGATAACCAACTTTTAAAAGGAGGTAAAAACAGGTCAGCAAGGGCCAGCCCATTGAAAAGCAAATGGCCAAATGAATGTGAATGCAGGCAGAATACTAAAGCTCTTTTTAAGAAGGGAAACCAGAAATAATGAATCTAAAATGGTTGGGGTATTTCTAGCCAGGTCCTCTTTTATAAATGACTAGATTTTTATAATGGAGGAAAAAAAAAAAAAGGGAATCTCAAGCAGAAAGGATAGGTCACACAAAAATACTAGACTTAGCTACAGGATCCTTGAAAAAATTACTGTATTAGCTATAGTTTTCTCCAAGAAATATTAGTGGAAAAACAGAGCTTATGTAAAAGAGAATCCAGGATTTTAAGCTGAACACTTTTATATGCTACCATAAATTCCATAGGATAAAGGGGTATGTCAGCTTTTGAAATAACTACTGTGAAATGTGAAGTAATTCTGAACTTCTCCATCATTTGAAAAGAGAAAACTAAAGGTCCACCTTCTCCAATTATCTCAGTTTTAAATTGTGTTACTCTTTCTCTTATCCACCTAATCTTTATAATTTTATTTAAAGTAAAACATACTCTGAAGGTAATTTGAACTACTTTGCCTACTCACCTCGGGAATCTCTAGATATAATATTTGTGTTCTTATTGAAATACCCAATTTGTTAGAGATAACCAATTCAGCACATACATAATTGCTTGGTGCAAAAAGTCTGCATATGACTTTGTAAATCACTGACTCAGGTATAATTCAAGAGATATATTTATTATGATAGTGCATGCATAATGGTGGTTAAAAATTTTAGACAGTAAAAGAAAAGAAAAAAAAAGAAAAGGTAACATCTATGAATATGTTTGGACAGAGTTTGCAAGCAGTTCTCTGAGACACTAGGACAAATCATTACCCAGACCT